CTTCAGTGGTTGCTGTAGCTTTTGGATAGTACATGCCTTTTTTGATGTCCGAAAAAGGTCAAGCGTTTTTTCCTACTTTTACGCGCAACGTTATATCAAGGTGAAGTGTTATCAGCATATTTTGAGGAGCTTAGACACAATATCGCCTTGTTATCCTTATTCACTTCAGTTTATCGCAAGAAGCTGATGTTCGCCAAGCTGATGTGCCATTTGTGCAATGCATAAGACCTTGTATTGACTTTCTGAAAACTTTTTTGCGGAACGAACATAAAGGTCCAAAATGCGTTTAGCATATACAGTGTATCTCAGCGAGAAAGTCAAAAACCGTATTGATCGGGCCCTGCGCCGCGTTGGGCCCTGTCGTCTAAACATTTTGCTAGGCTTCAATTAGTGCGTCACCGAGTGCCTGTCGTCTTCTCATTTGCTTTTAGTTATTTTTCTAATGATCGGTCGATAATTTACTGAAGAAGATCATTTGTTCACCTCTGTGCCGATATTAGCGGCACCCCCGTTTTATCCGTATCATTTGCTGCATGTTTTTTGCGTAAACACCGTTAAGGTCACCATTTGGCGACCTTATACGATAAGTGTGCATAGATATTACCGTTTCGGCTCCGCCTGTTAGCATACACATATTCTACCACTGCACCACCGTGTGCGGTTGAGCTCTTAATAAACTCTCTAAATAACTTTTCTTGTGTTCTACATTCGTACGGGCCCACCCTTAGCCCAATTCTCAAAGGCGCCACCCTTACGCCCTAAAGCCGCCACATTTTCTGGTGCATCGGCCCACGTGAGCCCGATTAAGTGTCTGATCCTAGAATCAACACGCAGGTTAGCCTAGTCTATCCTTGGAACCTAGCTTCCTAAATTGCTTGCGTTTAGTCCCTAGCGACAGCGCAAAAGGTTAGCCAAGACTGACCTTGGGTCCACCATAACCCTAAAACTTTTGCGTAGCAAAAAATTAGCATTTACCTGCTAAAGGCCACTACAGCGCCTACTTTTGCATTTCTAACGCAGCAAAAACAACCATTCTTCAGAGAAACTCATCTGACAGAATAAAGATGTCGCTCCATTTCTACAAATTAGCCATCTTAAAGAGCTCAACCGCACTCTCGACTCTACTGCAAAAATATGAGTCGTACGGTGAAAAAATCATGTACACGGAGGATGATCAGGAACGACTCAAACACTGTTCCGAAAACATGATCCGACTGAAAAAATGCCTTCCACTGTTCAAAGAAGGTATACAATCGCTGCAATCCAAAATAGAAAGAATGGAGCAGCAGTACGCGAATGCGAAGTCCAGGACTGAGCAAAAAGAATTGCTGCAGGAGATTGAAGACTTCGAAAATGAGTTCAAATATTCCAAGACCTTACAAGACGCTGAAGCCTTTGCACACATTGTTGAAGCAAACATTGCAGATGCAGAAGTTATTTTGTACCAAACACAAATGAGGCTCAAAATCCAAGTCAACAATGATAATGGCGTAGAGTCACAAAGTACTTCAGGCGAATCCAGTGTATCAAATAGAGAAGTCGCAAGAATCCCTGAACAAAACAGCACAAATTGTCGGTCAATTAGACCACCGACTGTGAAACTACCGCTTTTTAGCGGAAATCAAGAGGAGTTCGCTGAGTTTTGGGCACTATATGAGTCACTTGTACACAACTGCAGGGACTTGCCCACAGTCGAGAAAATAATGTTGCTGAAGCAGAGCTTGCAAGGTTCAGCCGTAACAGCAATAAGGGGCATAAAACCAGTGCCAGAAAACTATGAGTGGATGGTAACAACACTTGAGAAGCGATTCGAAAACCAGCCCACAAATAGGTCCAAAATAGTGCAGCGGCTATTCGAACTCCCATCTGCAGGCAAAAATGCGGATAGCTGCCAGCATTGCGTCGATACTATCAGGACTCTGGTCCACCAAATGGTATCCGCAGGATATGATATCCGCCATACGTGTGACCCAATGTGGACGGAGACCATCATCAAGAAATTTCCTTACGATGTTGTCAAGGACGTATTGATCAAAAACCAGGAAGTTGATAATGTTACTATCGAAAAACTCCTGGACATCCTTGACAAGGAGATAGCCGCAAAATCGTATGTAGAGCTTCGACTTGGTTTCGACGAAAAAGCGAAACTTCAGCCAACAATGCGTCAGGCAAATCTTGCGCAAAAGGAAAACTGCGCATTTTGTGGTCGCTCGAACCATAACTCGGCATTCTGCAGAACAGTCGCAGATCCGAACAAACGCCGACAGATAGTGCGGCAGAATAACTTGTGCTGGAAGTGTTTCCTCACGGAACACACCAGCAATCAGTGCAGAAAACAAAACTGCAACCATTGTGGAAAAACCCACCATTCCTCTTTGTGCCTCGTGAGTGGCAATGCAGCCACCAATCCTGCGAGCACCAATCAACCGCGCACATCGCGGTGGCCAAGAAATGAAGTTGCACACAACAACTCATCAAACCGCAATCATTCTGGTCCAAACACCAGACATGTTTCAACAAGTAACACTGCAAGGCAAAACTATCCACAGCACAATGGAGGCCAGCGTTTCATTCCAAACACTGAACGACCTACCATGAATAACCAGCTGGTGGAAAATGGACATATCGCCACTCCTGCGATTCCACAAGAGCAGCTCATACTAATGACTGCCGAAGGCAATGTTTACAGTCATATCAGCCAACAATACGAGAGAGTGCTATTCTTCTTCGACACTGGCGCACAAAAAACAGTGATTGAAGAGAGTTTAGCCACAAAACTCGGACTACCAAAGATCACCACTGAAACGTGTGTTATGTCCGGCATTGGCGGACACACCGAAAAATTCGAAAGTCACTCAGTCAAACTGAATATCACCACCGCATTCGGTGCAGACATTGACATGGTGGTTCAGACAAAACCAGTGATTACTAGCGGATTCCCTGCTATCAGACTTACTAAAGAAGACAAAGAGTTTCTCCACATCAAAGAACTGTGCATAGCAAACTCAAAAGTTCATGAGGAACGTATCATTCCACGTATTCTCGTTGGATTAGACCGCTATTACGACCTCGTCATAGCAGATACAACCGCTCTTCGGACACCATCAGGTCTGCATGTTGCAAAAACAGTTTTTGGTCCAACCTTGTATGGACGTGGCACTATTGACAGCTCACATATGAATGTGTCAATAAGCCACAACTACACTTCTATCGAACAACCTACCGAAGTGGCCATGCTCGAAAGAATGTTCGAGCTAGAAGGCTTGGGAATACCTGCCTCTGAACTGCAAAAAGACGAAACAGTTCAGAAATACTTTGAGCAGTACGAAAAATCGATATCATTTGAAAACAATCTTGTCACTGCTCCGTTCCCACTAAAAGCCAATATCGTTGACCTTGCCGACAATTACTCGGTATCAATCAAACGACTATCTGCTCTCCAAAACCAACTAAGAGCAAACAGAGAACAGCATGCCTGGTACTCAAAAATCATAATGGATTATGAGAGCCAAGGGGTGATAGAAAGAGTCTACAGCCCAGAGAAAGATGCTGTCGGCACATACTATATGCCGCATTCTGGCGTCTGGCGACCTCACAAAAAGGTGCCACTCAGGATAGTATTTGACGCCTCGTCAAAAATGAGAGGAAAACTATCTCTTAACGATACCATCCATAAAGGCGAGTCGTTTATTAACAAGATACAAAGCCTTCTAATTACATGTCGTACAAGCAGAATCATACTGTTCTGTGATATTGAGGCAGCCTTCACGCAAATTCGTCTGCCAAATGAACACAAAGACTTTTGCAGATTTCTGTGGCTACAAAATGTGAACCTGCCAGCCACAAGAGGCAATGTCGTGAAGTATCGATTCACACGACTACCCTTCGGTATAACCGCTGCACCAAGTATCCTAAATATGTGCATTGCAGCATATTTAAATGCTACTGACACGGATCTTGCACGCGAAATTGCCGCTTACATCTATGTTGACAACATCCTGCTCCAAGCGGATACTCCAGAAGAGGCTTTGCAAAAATACAAAGAATCCAAAGCACTTTTTGCCAAGATTGGAATGAATCTCAGGGAGTTCATTTCAAATTCAAGCATTGTCAATGGACAAATTCCTGAACAGGACACCATTCCGACCGGTGTGTTGAAATATCTTGGTACGGAATACGATACCGTAACCGACCGATTCACGGTCACGACACGTTTTCCAATGAAACCCACTTTGACTAAACGTGATATTGTTAGCCAGCTCAACTCCATTTACGATCCATTGGGGATAGCCGGTCCATTGTTGATAGAGCTAAAAACAATGATGCGAGAAATCCTTACCACTCATTCTGATTGGAATGACCGCCTTTCTCGAGACACATGCGAGAAATGGAATCATCAATGCAGCAAAGTAACTGATGCATTGATTGCGGTACCCCGCACCTTATTAGGCGGCTTGACCTATAGTCAAGCAGCGACTCGCCTGTGGGTGTTCGCGGATGCAAGTATAGCTGCGATTGCAGCATGCGCATACATGCAATCGTTGGAATCAAATGAGTTGTCTCAAATCATTGTTGGAAAGACGCGACTAGCACCAAAGAAACACGTGCAGACAATTCCAAGATTAGAACTGCTTGGTATTCTACTAGCCATGAGAATGGCTACTACAGTAACAGAAGCTGTCAGCTGCAAAATTGTTGAACTGCACATAGTGACAGATAGCGAAGTTGCTTTATGCTGGGTCAAATCAACAAAAAAGTTGCCAGTATTCGTAAGCAATCAATGCGTCCGCATACGTGACCTCAAGATGTGGTTCGAGACGCGAGGCATCAGAGTGCACTACCACCATGTCCCGACGTCGTACAACCCAGCTGACGCTGGCACCAGAGGTCTGACCAAAAATCAGATTCAAGACCATCATTGGGTGCGTGGACCAGCATGGTTGCGCGACTATCCAAACATAACCTACTTGAGAGATATCGCTGATATCCAAGCTCAGGAAATGCCCAAAGAGTCGGAACAGCCCACTACAATAGCTGCTGTGCAAAACTGTCCACCTCAAGAAGAACAACTCTTTGATTTGTCAAGAATATCAAAGCTGTCAATTGCGTTGCGCATGGTAGCACGCGTAGGAAAATACCTACACCGGGTGGTAGCAAAAGTGAACGAGAAGAGACATTCTCCGATAGAAATCCACCATGTAACCAAATTCGGTACAAATTTCGATATAACTGCTGACGATATCAAAGCAGCAGAAATCGTTCTCCACGCAGACATTCACAAGAATGTGGATGCAGATGAGCTTAGTAGAAAGTTCAGAAACATGAACATTGTTCGCGACAAATACGGTGTAATCAGACACATTTCTCGATTGCAACATGCCCCAATACCAATCGATACAAAATCTCCCATCTTTCTGCCAAGCAGAAGCGAGATGACCCGACTGGTTCTGATCGATATGCACTGCCATAATTTCCATTGCGGTAAAGACCAGACGTTATCGCTGGCACGGCAAAAATACTGGATACCGCGTGCATCTGGATCATTCAAGTATTACTTGAAAAATTGCGCGGTCTGTAAGCGTTGGAATGGACTGCCATTTGGTTCTCCACAAATGCCCTCATTACCAACAGATAGGGTGATGGTCACAAAACCATTTAGTAATGTTGGTTGCGACTACATCGGTCCGTTTTGTTCCAAGAATGGGGACAACATGTATATTGCCCTTTACACTTGCCTAGTTACTAGAGCAGTCCACTTGGAAGTAGTTGAAAACTTATCAGCTGGAGCATTCCTGAACTCATTCATACGATTTGTGTCAAGAAGAGGTGTTCCGAAACTAGTGCGCTCCGACTGCGGAACAAATTTCCGCCTTGGTTCCAAAATCATCGAAGAACTCTCTAAACCTTGCGAATACGAGGCGCAATCCGTCATGAGTTACAGTGTCACAAACGGTATCAAATGGTTATTCAATCCACCAGCCAGCCCTTGGATGGGCGGAGTTTGGGAGCGGCTCGTTGGTTCCGTTAAACGATGCTTGAGAAAGTCGGTTGGCAGAAAGAAACTAAGTTTCACAGAGTTCAGTACGGCGGTCACTTCTATAGAAGCAGTCTTGAATACACACCCACTAACAAAACTGAGTTCCACGGATTTGTCAGAAATTCCGCTCAGACCAGTTGACTTCCTTCAAGGAAACGTGAAATTCTCACTCCAGGATTCAGCAGAATCACAAAACGCTGAAGACCCCTCATACGAGCCAGAATTCATACAGACTAGAAAGCAGGCCATTGAAGCCATTTCTGCCTCAGAAATAATAGCGTCCAAATTTTGGGACAAGTGGCGCACAGAATACCTCACAACATTGCGTGAGTCGCAGAAGCAATTTCTGAAACAACATAGACATATCTCGAGAACCGTCCCAGAGAAAGGCGAGATTGTCTTGATTGAACATGATATGCTACCAAGAGGAAATTGGTCCTACGGCAAAATAGTTGAAGTAATCAGTAGCAATGACGGTCTCATTAGGACCGCGAAAGTCCTTACTCCCAACGGTGGCACCCTACATAGACCAATAAACAAACTGTACCCACTAGAAATCCGTTCCCAATCAGAGATGGATTCTAGAGATGCACTGACTCACGACACAACCGAAGAAATCGCAACTCGGCGTGTTCTGCCTCGTTCTGCAAAGACAAGAGCTTATGATGTCATCAGAAACTTCGAAGAAAGCCTCGAGGAAACTCAGTCACAATCAAGCACTAACGCTATGCAAGGGTCACAAGTGTTGCCACCCTCACGGAACTCCAAAGTAGCCAATGGATCGATAAAAACTGCTATGCTACTTACCGTGATGATCGCTGCTCTGATATCTCCATCCAGTGCCCATCATGCAACATGTCGAGAAGGTGTAGTCGAAATACGGGAACGGAACACTTCGTACGAGCTTTGTTTCAATTCCGAGTGCAAAACATTCCCCGGCTCCAGTGAGATACGCACTTACAAACTACCGCCGTCACCCACGCAATCGCACACCAAAGTTGCGATAAAATATGTTGAAGATGAAACACCCACCGATTATGCCCTGATGTGCTCAAATCCTGACTTCTGTGCATTATCAAGATCACTACTTAGCATATCATTGCTAGGGAACCCAAACTGTTGGCCGGTTGGTGCTGTTATAACCGTTGCCATGATCTTCTACTTAATTAGTATGCTGATTCTCATATCACTGTGGGGAATGTTATCACTTATCAGAATCACCCGTAAGAGTCCTGCACCAATGCAAAATGTATACTCTATCAATGTACCTCAAGAAAATGTCCAGCTACATTCCTTGAATCCGACTCCGTTGAGCGGTGGGTTAGTAATCACATTGTGTATTGCAGTATTGGCAGGAACGAATGCGGTGGATGCATGCCAACATGGTTTCACCCGATATAGCACCAATATTGTATGCGATCAAAACAATAACTGCAACTTGGAATTCAGCAGAGAACTCTTGTTCAACAGGATCCAGAACGAGCATTGCATTGAAATCCGCCACCAGAACAAAACGGTCGGTCTGCTCAAGATAAAATTAAGAGCTGCTAGTCTAATCTGCTCCAAAGAATCGATAACGTACACCAGAAGTACGATTCACCGGGTGTACTCAGCTGTCAGATGCTCCCAAGCAGGCTCCTGCCACGGAAACATATGCGACACGATCAGTCGAAACGATACTGTTCCGGAGCTGTCGCAAGCAAGAGACTTTCCAGGATACACTGGATGTCAATACACTTGCGGAGGGATGAGCTGCGGCTGCCTCTTGCCATCCCCCTCCTGCACCTTCTATAAGGTCGCTCATATACCCGTGTCCGGAACGGTGCATGAAATTATACGATGCAGTGAATGGACACCATCACTGCATATCGAAGTGGAGAGCAGTTTATCTCAAGCAACCCGAAAAGAGGGCGTCGTCTTGACTCCGTACATAACGGCCAATTGCGAGGATTCAATATTACTGCCACATCTGTACAGAGTTCGCACCTACCAGTGCTGAACAGAAGGTTCGCACTATCGAGCGACACTTCAGTCATGCTACCCGACGACTTCAGGGTGCCGGTCGAATGTGCGACACGGAAAGAAGCAATGGACAACTTCAAGAATTGCGTTAACAAAATCATTTGCGATTGCAACACGGGCTGGACCAAGCATCATTGCCACTGTCCAGATTACTCTTTGCGTGCTGTAGAAGAAGACAGCAGTAATCGATTACCCCTACTGGCCCCCTCCATAGAAATACATTCCAATGGCTCGGCACTCTCAGCCATAGTCAAGGACATTGAGACGATTGTGACAGTCCAATCGAACATCCTGCTCGACAGCGCTGAATTTGTCTACGAAGAAAAATGTGAAATTAGACTGAGCAACATAGCTGGCTGTTACAGTTGTCTACCAGGGGCCAACATAAATTTGACATGCTTGTCGAAAGATCCCACAGAGATCACTATTTCGTGCGATGAAATCTCATTTTCTGTCCAATGTGGTCCAACGAAGCCGTCAACCATGATGTTGCTGCACTTCGATTCCGCCGTAGTTCAGCGAAAGTGCCATACAAGCTGTGGCGACCGAAAATGGGTCCTGCCGTTGAATGGAACGCTGTTCTACCACCACTCCAAACATGACGTGTTCAAGTTCAACGAAGAAGACCAAAAATCCATGAGCTGGTTGGACATGATCTATGACATACATGTACCTGACCTCCACCCACTGATAATGGTCATACAGCACCACTGGAAAGCCTTTGTGGCCGCTGGAGTTGCTGCACTTGCAGCAGCAGGCCTCACCTATCTATTTGGGCCAGTAGTTATCCTCACTGTGATAAAATTGGTTTTTGGTGCAATTGCGTACCTACTATGTGCCCTGCTGAAGGGCGCCAAAGTGCTCGTGCAATGCGCTATAGAGACTCGTAGAAATCAATAATTATATTTACTTTAGCTTTCGTCTTCATCAGGTGCAATATCTCTTCACGTTGGTCAGGATCAAACAAGTTCACGCCACGTCATCGTCCCTAGATGTCTTTCACTAGCCACCCAACTCCCCGTATTCTCGTCTTAACCATTGGACTCCATCGACACAAGGACTGGATCAACGAAGGAGCCGTAACTACGTTTCTACATAATTCTCGTAATTTCTCTTTACCTTGTCATGTTTATAATTTTTCTCCAACTACTTTTAATGCTGTATCGTTGTTTTCCTATCTTGTTCGTTGTTCTTTGTCGCCCCCGGAGTGTGCCGATATTAGCGGCACCCCCGTTTTATCCGTATCATTTGCTGCATGTTTTTTGCGTAAACACCGTTAAGGTCACCATTTGGCGACCTTATACGATAAGTGTGCATAGATATTACCGTTTCGGCTCCGCCTGTTAGCATACACATATTCTACCACTGCACCACCGTGTGCGGTTGAGCTCTTAATAAACTCTCTAAATAACTTTTCTTGTGTTCTACATTCGTACGGGCCCACCCTTAGCCCAATTCTCAAAGGCGCCACCCTTACGCCCTAAAGCCGCCACAACCTCCTTGTCCAGCCATACAAGTGAAGGAAGGTCGGTCGAAGTGGCTTTTGAAGATGCGATTGATACCACCTTGTAGGGCTTCGAACGCTAATTTCTACATGTGCCTTCCTTATCTGCACGCGTTTTGGGCAAGGAGTTATGGGGGTTTTTTAGGGGACGGAAGTCGAAACAAGTACAATCAAGAAGGGCATAACGTTGTGTGCCGTCCGGTGTAATGGTTGACATGGTGGTCCTGCAGAGAGAAGCTTCCACTCAGACAGCGGATAGGACCCCTCCGCCGGAGAAATGGCAGGGTCGCGGCGTTTCCCCAGCGGTGGGTCTCCCATTTGTCCGGCGGAGCCCTCCCATTTCTCCGGCGGAGACCTCCCATTTCTGCTCCGGATACCTCCCATTTACTGCTCCGGATACCTCCCATTTTCTGCTCCGGAGACCCCCCATTTTCTGCTCCGCAAGTCTGCCGCGGCATACTGTAATTAGCCCTAATTAAAGGCAGCTTCCAGGCAGATCTGGACCTATGGGGCTTTTACATGGAAAGTACTTTTGGGGCCCTAACCACTGCCGAAGCAGCAGCTCAGGTAGCGCTCTAATGGCGGAGATATTCCCCTCGAAACAGACCCCCGCGAACGTATTCGCATGGATTTGGCAGTTTCGCGCCAGGATCCACGCTTTGCGCCATGAATCCATGCGAAACACGGTCGCGGGGTCCAGTTTCGAGCAGAATATCTCAGGCGTTACAGCACTACCTGAGCTGCCGGTTGGGTAGTGGCTTAGTTAGGGCCCCAAAAGCACTTTCCATGTAAAATCCCCATAGGTCCAGACTTGCCTGGACGCAGCCTTTAAGCTCCAAACCCCAATTTTGTCTCTAAACCCCACCCAAATTAGCCGAATAGGACCCTCCCCCCCCCCCCGGGTAGGAGTTCAGCGCGACCCTCACCCCTACTCTACCCCCTCCCTCTCACCCCTAGCGTTTGTGGATAGAAGATAGAAGAAAGAACGAAGAGATAAGATATTTGTTTCAAATCTTTCAAACTTTCGAAAAATCATCTTATATCGTTAATCATTTCACACCCACTGGTGTAAAAAAATGAACCTTTCCAACAAGACAACGGTTTGTGGAACAGTTTAAATTGGCCCATATTATTTATTTGCTTGCATATATGAAGAACGAATTGTTCTCCACTGATGTCATCGGGAACAGCGCCAAGATTGAATTTGTTATTTTGATGAGCCAGTGCTAGAGATGCTCGTCGTAAATTGCGCTCCTCATCTGCTCCCTATAAAACAAAAGAATAACGTAAACTCTGAGACTTAAGAAAATGATTGGAATCTGTTAACGGATACTAAACGAAACTTGTCAAACAGTTACTTGAAACAAACTTTAGCTTCTCCGACGGTATACGATAGTATGGGGAAAACAAAATTCCACATTTGGGCTGTTCAATTTCTCACTTTAGGATGAACAATAGCTACCCTTAAGAATCCCTAAGTATAGAAAATATACTTGCTAAAGTAAAAAGTCTCGAAAAGTTGACGACTCGCACAATCCTTTGTGCTTCTAATATGCAAAAAACGTTTTCTTGACAAAGCTGACAGCAAAACATTGCGAATTCTTTTCTGTATGGAAATAAAAACAAGAAGGTTCTCTGTTGAAGAAGAGTCAGTTCGCAACCCGAAGGTACAGGAGGGCAGAAAACATGTACAGTCGAGTGGGATTCATGCTTTATTTATTCTCCCTGCAGACACGGCAACTTTTGTCCGTCAGCAATTGTTATTGCGAGTTTTCTGGTATTTTTCTTTGCTTATTCTTTACTTTTTAGGTATAGTCGAGTCATTTCATTTGATCATGTATGTCACTGCACGCACTGTCCACCTTTGGCGTCCCTGGAATTGCGATCGCAGAAGTGCAAGATACGAACCGATTGTTACTACTTACATCACTTTGTGAAGATTGGTACGTAAAAAGGAGATAAACTGTGAAGAAATCCCGAAAAACACTTAGCGGAAGGACCCTTTGTTCTTAGAATCCAGGAAGAGGATTCTAAGAACAAAGGTGGACAGTGTGTGCGGTGACGCACATGACCATATGCAATGACTCGACTGTAACTCGTGGTGGTAAAGAAGAGAAAAGTAAGTCAGAAGAGTGGTTTCTGTTTTACTGAATGGCTATACCATCGCTCATTTTCAGCTATCTACGTGATAGACACGTCGGTTCAGTTTTATGTGTATTTTTGCTCATTTCAGGCCTATTTTTCTTGTAGCATTTTGTTGAACGCTGATAGGCTTCGTAGTACTTCGGCTTTAGCATATAAAAAGACAGCATTTGATCATGTAGTTGTACAGTGAAGAGATGAGTCAGACGTAATGCCTGCTAGCGTTCAAATGCTACACAAGAATAAAGAGACATGGAGTAACAAAAATACATATGAATGACGCGAAAAAGCATGAAGTAACAAAAAAGAACCTTACAGCCGCGAAAAAACAACTTACACAGAACTCTAATCTCGTCTGCGCAAAATTGTCTTGAAGCAAATAAAAGACAAGACACCAAAAAGGAGCAGGAGAAAGGTATCTGCAGATAATTATCAAAAAAAGGGGTACCTATGATGATCTGCGCGACACAGTCTGGAAGTGTATCAACAACTCCTGTCCTCCTTCTGCAACTTCACCACGATTGGTGATCATGTATCTCGACACATAGCCTAAGGAAAAACTACAAGTAAACGACATATTTTCATAAACACTAACCGAGTATGTGAGCAGCAAAAGCAGCAAAGCCAATTTTGGTGCTGCCAAACCACTGCCTGCTGCCAGTAAACTTCTATTCCTCGTCTCTGATTTGCACTAAACACTGGAAAAACACGTCAGTGCATCATTTCAATTAGTAAGAGAGCTCAACTTTTCGTCAATGTCCAGATGTATTGGCACTGTTTATCAGTGAACCCGTTGAGGATATACCAGCTTCAGACTGACTGCAAATTTCGATAAGCACAACCCCGCTCTATACATTTATGCAGTATAACAGATTTCGAGCTTCATAGGTACTTACCAGAATCGTCGATCATTCTGCATATGATGATAGTGGTTATAATCACCTTTTAGTGGATAAGACTCCTCGTGGTTTGTCTAAATAGTAATATTATGGCAATCTTTGTATATTTGAGTGCAAAAGCCCAGACAGTCAGGTCGGCGCCAGACTTCACCGATTCACCCATTCGCTTTTAGTTTAATCATTGAAATGACACACTGCGAATGGGTTGCACTGGGTGAATCGGTTGAACAATAAGTCTGGGACCTGCCTTAGGCCTCGGACAGCTTCACGCGATTTGATCGGCGCGATTCAGCTGCTACAGACAACTGTAACAATATCATTGCACGCCAATCTTCTTGCATTTCGGTTGTGATAGTTCTCGAACAAGGCTAATCCTGAATAACTATCACACCGAAATACAAGAAGGTCGGCATGCAATGAACTCGTAACACTTGTGTGTAGCGATTGAATCGCGACGACCAAATCGCGTGAACCTGTCCGACGCCTCAGACTACAAATTGCGGATCACGTCCCTCACTACCTACAAGTGTTGGATCGATGCTAAACAAAGCAGTCAAAAAATAAAAGAAGGCAATAACAAAGAATTCGATTAAACTAATTAATATTGCACATGATTAAAATACTGAAACAATTTGTTATTGCAAAACTCACAGTTATTGATTTGGAGAAGCGGTGGGCGCAATAGCTTGGCCATCGAGCACTCCTGACCGTCAAATTACTTCGAGTCGCCAATACGCACAAAATCATGCACCTAGGAAAAAACCAGCACAGAATGTTTCAGGAAGAAAACCTATAATCTGGACAAATAGAGCCAGCAAAGAAGTAAGCACTATGTTCTGATGAAGTACTTCCGACTTACCATCAGTTCGATTGACTGGAGTCCCTGTCCAGGCTTCTTGTCGTTCAAACAACACTTACTTATGGACCCAGTCCTAATGAACAATGCGAAATAGAAGAGCACCATGTGAATAACTGCATAAGCAAAGATGATAGAGTGAAAATTTGATGAAACCACGATTACGAAATCGGGCCGACAACACGCCAGATGACGCCCGCCGCAGGAACCCGTCCACGCCCTTTCAATGTTACCTTCAAAAAACGGGGTTTTTGAAAGTTTTGAAGGATTTGACGAACAGACTTGGATTCAGCAGGACGAGAGCCGTCAGAAACGGTTAAAATCCCGAAGGTGATTTTCTACCTGGACAATGCCTTTAAGCTGACACTGAAGGTGATTGAGTGCAACCGCACGAAAATTTGAAACTAAACCTGAAAACGAGGAACTTACAACAACATAAAGGCCAACGCGACGAAGAGCAACGCGGAAAAGAAAAAAAACGGTAAAGAAACGCGCAAAAACAACAAAATCAAAGAAACGGCGACTAAAATATGGACAAAGAGCGTAAACAGAGGACTCATCACCGTGGAGTTAGACGTTTGCTTGCTACGCGCCAAATCGATACGCAGCCTGCTCCGGATACCTCCCATTTTCTGCTCCGGATACCTCCCATTTTCTGCTCCGGATACCTCCCATTTTCTGCTCCGGATACCTCCCATTTTCTGCTCCGGATACCTCCCATTTTCTGCTCCGGAGGCCTCCCATTTCTGCTCCGGACCCCTCCCATTTTCTCCGGCGCGGCTCTTCCAAGTTTGGCGGACACGCGCCGCGCAAATTTCTCCGGCGCGGAGTCCGCCAAATCTGGCAGAGTCGCGCCGGAGAAATGGCGGACCTTTGCAGCAGGGCCGGAGAAGCCTCCCATTTGCCTGCCAGTGATGTCACCGCGATGGACCGCCCATTTGCCCTTCTCTCATTGGTCAACTGGGTCCGGCGCGACTCTGGCAGTTTCGGAGGGTCCGGCGGAGGGGTCCCGTCGATTGTCTGAGCAGGCTCAATTCCCCTGTCTGGTGTTTTCATTTTGCTGGGTTTGTAAAAAACTTGTATGAGCATGGACATCGTCTATACACCACTTCTCTCTTCATTTAATTGCAGAACTCTTTAAAAAATTTTTATTACACGATATTTCAAAGATCTATGTGCACTGATGAAAGGAGGACAAAATGGCTAAACATGGCATTTTTTACAACGCGAGCAACGATTGAAGACTACTCCCGAATGGTCACAGTTCCCTATCCAGTTGGAAGGGGTGCAATATTGTGCGGGCGTTCAAAACTTCCTAAATGTGCATCAAGGTAGCCGCTGGCGTGCCAGGAATAAGCCAGAAAATTTTGAAACGCGGGGCAGTGAATTCGATGATAAATTAATGATAGAAACCTTATGATGGAATCGCGAACATAAACAACATTATCCAGATCATGAACGAGAACATGAGAAATAAATCGTTTGTACATTGCCTTGAAAGGCAAGAAAAAAAAACAAGTAAAGGTTGGAACTTTGTCCCGGCAGGATGTCCGTTAACTTTATGTGTTTACCAGAAAGAACAATGGCGGAAGTAATGGCATGATCTCTAGAATCGCTCTAAGAGTCTATCATCAGTAAGGTCTTATCAGAGCTGCAAGTGCGACGCAGTTTTTAACCAATCTATCATCAGGCTCTTCGTCATCATATACGATGTGTGTGTTGGCCCTGACCACCAAGTTGTTCGTGCGGAAATATCCCCTTTCACGGAATCTTCGCGGCTCCTGTTGTCGGTAATATGAGATATGAGGAAAATTTCGACTGTTATGCATTGTTACAAAGAGATTCCTAGTCTACCATCGACAAACAATACTGGCGTTATCGTGATTAATGCCCAGTGAAAGAAACCGATTGCACTACTTGTTGCATCGTTTTTTCACCTTGAAGGGTCAGGGAACGAGTTGAGTGCATTTCTTTCAATAAATTACTCTGATCAACGTTACAGATACTTTCAAGGGACCACCTTCCATTTCTAAAATACGTACACCGATTCCACCAATTCACAAGAATATAGCTACCTTTCCTCACTTCATGAAAAAATCCTGTGCTTACGCACGCAGTCTAAAGCTTTCGTTAAAATTCTTTTCGAAATGAATTTGGTGACTATTCTGGAAACCCCGCAGCGTTTATTGAATTTTGAATCCATCAATGGCTGGCTTTAAACTTTACAGCGAGCATCTCCTTTTGGTTTATTTTCAGCGCGATTTCACGGAGATCGCGCAATGAGATCCCCGAGGCGAACTTAAATAGCACTTTCTCTAAGTCTCTCCGCAAGGGTTGCTCGCACTGCTCTATCAGCTCGGAGCTGCCCTGATTAGAAGACTTCTATTTCAAATATTGTAGGATATGTGCTGATGCTTGACAAGCTCCTTGAGCTGAGACTTTGTCTTCATAAGCAGGTACCCACGTCGTATCTTCTTTAAACTCGTCCACGATGTTTTCTTCAACAGATTCTACCTCTATATCCTCATATTCTGCTTGAGTAGAATGGCAGATATGTGGTTGATGATCTTTTGCTCCTTCCGTGATTGTGCTCGCTCCACTTCACATGCTCCAAATTCCTTCTGTAAGCTCGAAATACGAACTTCGGCGAGAACATCTTGTGGGTTAATGAGTTTCGGATTGCGTAACGTGTATGTGAGTTTTTTCAGGTTTCCCGACAAGGTACAGTCTGTCCCAATCCCAATCAGGCCAATTTGGTATGGCGGGAGTTCGCGTCGCTAGGGTTTTGCGGTCACGACCACTGTCTGATTGTCTGCTCCCTCTTCGATCTCCTGGCTCTTCCCAACAGCGCGAATATCCAGCGCAAACGCCTAGCGCTGCGAGCGCGCAAATTTACGCCGACAATTCGGCCTGATTCCGATTGGGGCAGACTGTACGTGCGGCTTCGCTTGTCAAGCACGTGTTAACCTCTCAGGGTTGGGCCAGACTGCGCGGCGTACGCGACGTACGCAGCGTACGCCGCGTATGCTCCTATGGTGAAATATATCGAGAGTACGCTGCGTACGCCGCGTACGCCGCTTCCCCGCGAAGTGTGGCTCAACCCTCACATTCACCGAGGTGTTACGTGCCAAACCGATTCTTTTGTCATTTCTACCTCCATTTCAAATAACTCGCAAGTTTTTTATGAACAAGCAAACGAAAACCAAAACAGGTGAACCTGGGAGCTTCTTCCTGAAAGAGCACCACGCTAACCATTACACCAAACAGCACACAGCGTTACGCCTTTGTTGATTGTACTTGTGTTGACTTCCACCCCTAAAAATACTCCAAACTCTTAGCCTAAAAATGCGCCGCAGATAAAGAAGGCAGACTTGAAATCAGCGTTCGAAGTCCTACAAGAGCATATCCATCGCCTCTTAAAAGGCCACTCTGACCACCTCCCTTCTTCTGTTAGTTGTATTAGTGTCTGCTAAATTTTCAGTGACAAATCGGTGCTTGCTGTTTTGCCAATTTGCTTCGCTGAGTACGCGTAGTTCTAAACTCTCGTTTTTTTCTAATCTTTCAACTCTTATCAATTGTCCTTAGGATCGGCTCTATTTTTGGGGCCAAAATCTGCAGAACTTACGGTCAATCGCTCATGTATCACACTTTTGCAGATTATTTCTTACCGCGGATGGCGGGAAGAGCTAAAATGGTGCACATAAAATCGGTGCTCTCACAATGGCTACAAGTGCAGCCTATGCTAGCACTCATTTGGGTTGTCTCGGATGAAAAATTGTTTACTTAAGCAAAACTGGAGGAGAAGCCGATTTTAAATGAGCTAATCTAAAGGCCAAGACGCGAAACATCAGAAACAAATAGTCGAAATGGGATAAAAGAGTGAGGAGCTGCGGGGACCAAGCGGAACAATGATCAACAAAATGTACAGTTGATACGCCCGCGAAGACGGCGCAAAGCCCAAGCGAAGCGGCAGTAAAGACTTGAGCTGCGGCGGCTACTCAGACAATCACAGGCTCTCAGCCGGCAGCCACAAAGCCACCGCGAAAACCCACCAAAAGCGACCCACCAAAGGCGCGGTGGCCTCATCGCCTCACTGTCGCTTCCCGCTAAGAACCGTGTCAGAACTGGCAGCGAGCGGGCTGCTATAAAGCCTTCAGCGCGAAGCGAAACCGCCGCTTTCGCTTCGCGCTGAAGACTTCATAGCAGCACGCTCGCTGCCAATTCTCAGCGGGAAGGGACAGTGAGGAGATGAGGCCACCGCGCTTTTGGTGAGTTTTGGTCTTGGCTTGTGGCTGCCGGCTGAGAGCCTGTGATTGTCTGAGTATGACACTAATTCAGCATACCCTGCTCATTCCTTTGTTTAACTGCGGATTTTGGTGGCCCAAAATTCTATTGTCTTTGAGCGGAAAATTCGAGCAGGAATTGTCTGCTTACTCTCGAATGACAGGTCTTGAAGAATGAACAGGAACTGAACAAGAACTTTGACAGGAACCCATCAGTTATTCACAACATAAAGGACATTTCAATAGTTCATGTTTATAAGCATTTGAATAACAAGCGAATCTGCTTCAGCGCTGCTGTATTAACTGAAGTTCATCCTCTAGTATTGACGTAGGTGAACATATACGCAAACGTATGGATGTTATGCTAGCAGCAATTTCACTTCAGCCAGCACCTGCCCACGTAAGTCAAATTAGAATTTAAATTTACACTCGTTTAACGGTTATTTCTTTTGATAAGTTTTGAATTGTTTCTACATTCCTTAGATATCGTGGACTTGTTACACGTACATAATTTTCTTCCTGCACTACCTAGGAAATGAGAAAGCCCTTCCTAGATATTAACGTCAAATGTTATTAATCGCAGTTTCGAAGTGCGATGAACGCCGAGTATCAGACAAGAGTTTGAGTTTATTTTGGAGAATTTTGTTGAGGTCATAGAACATTCTACTTGCAAAAAATAAGGTCTCCAAGATTTGGAGTACATGAGTTCGAGAGCTATCCATACAGTGAGGAATGAGCAGACTTTCCTTTATGAACATGCATCACATCTCTCCTCAGCTTCCACAAGAATCATTCAGTTTTATTTACTTCGGTATTCTTTTTCCATCGAAGATTCGT